GAACATCATTTGTCCTTGTTTAACATTTGATAAACGACAAGGATGAAATGATTCCACGAACGTTGTGAGCGTTGTAAATGGGACGCAGCCTAAATGAAAAATATTCAATGAAACGATTTCTCTATGTCATCTATATCTCTTGCTGGAAAACACCCATTATCTGTATTACAAAATTTATATGAATTTATTATTATGTATCTTAGGCAAAGAAAGTGCCAAACTGTATTATTCATTTGGCCGATCGACCAATTAACATAACAATGCAACGTGCGATACGATCATTGTCCTGGTGGCAGACTATAAAACTAGGGTGGAAACTGGCAGTAATGAAAGATTCTATTACTCAAGAGGACGTCGAACTCTGTAAGCAACGATCGATGTTGGACGAAATAATTGCCAACATGAAGGAGAAATTTCCAGTGTTGGGAGAAGTGTTTGTGAAAGAGAGAGATATTTATTTGACTAATTCTCTACAGTTGTCATGTCTGCCTCATTGTGTTTTTAATCATTCTTACGAACCAGCACGTGTCGTAGGAATCGTCGGTTTAGGACACACACCCGGCATCATTGAAAATTGGGGTAAAGTCAAGCCTTCCGATATACCGCCTATCATGAGGTAAGTAAAAAATATTGCATCATATAATTGCTATTATATGAGATATTTCTAAAAGCATCTATAGAACTACATTTTGCGTATTCTTTCTTGTTATCATATTTTCTTGTTATATTTTTTTATTTATATGACTTGTAGGCGATAAAGTTTAAATAAAATAAAATTTAGGAATCCTTTATACATTATATTAAAGCATAATGTATCCCATTACATATTAATTTACTAGACAGTCTTTTGCAGAATACCACCACCATCGTTGTCGGGTAAAATTTTGAAGCAAACCGTTAAGGCATCTGTACTTGGTGTTGTAATTTACATAGGTTACAGAATTGTAGCGGTACCCGCTGCTATCACGTTCCAATCTCTTAAGTCATCGGTTCAGGGACTTCTACAGGTTGGTGTCGCACGATAGGGTTTTGTTTATTTAAGAAAAGTCGTTCTTAATTTAAAAAAACAATTTTTCCTCTTTATCTCGTGCTGCCTTTATCCCAAAGAGTCTCTCGGACTTTTTTGGATATTTTTATTGATACATAATTACGGTAAGCATGGAAGCGAATGCTTCTGCCGACGAGTACGAACATATTGTAGCGGACGTTATGTACATAATAAATAATATACCAGGGCCTGGGATAGATACAGCAGACTTTGAAGCAGAATACGCTGTAGGCTGTTCGTGTGTAGCTGAATGTTTTAATTGCTCGTGTACCCGCGGTTCTGCTAATTATTCTAATGCTCGAATTGTCGATGAGAAATTAATCGGTCCGATATTTGAATGCCATGCTCGTTGTAAATGTAGACCAGATTGTGGAAATAGATTAGTACAGAATGGTCCGTTAAATTGTTTAATTGTCAGAGAAGTTGCCAATAAAGGTCTCGGTCTTTTTACGAATAAGTTAATAAAAAAAGGTCAATTTATTTGCGAATACGCTGGCGAAGTAATAAGTCTGCAGGAAGCGCGATGCAGAATTGAGGCTAATAAGCAGGGTAACATGATGAATTACGTTCTTGTAGTATCAGAACATGCTGAAGATCGTGTTATTGTAACTTGTATAGATCCGAAATATTTTGGTAATATTGGACGCTATGCTAATCATAGCTGTGACCCGAACTCTATCCTTATCCCGATTAGAGTAGAGGGAATCGTGCCTCGATTATGCTTGTTTGCATCTAAAGATATAGAGAACGGAAAGGAAGTGACTTTTGACTATGCTGGTGGTGCAATGGTTAATTCCGTCCATTATCTCAGTGATACTTCTTGTCTTTGTGGTTCTGACAATTGTCATCGTTACTTACCACATAATCAGATTTAACAACATGAGATATTCATGTGCGATATATTATAATAATATAAAGGTTATAGATTTGATTACAGATTTAAAGTTAACAATAATTTGGTATAAACTATAAATTGATTACAAGTCGGAAAAAAAATTATATAATAAGATAAAACTATATGTTTTGAAATTAATATCACATAAAATTAAAGAGAATGTCATAATCAAAATTATAAACAAGTATAGTTTTATGACACATATGTAAATATGTGACAGGTACTGAATTTAAATTTTTAGAGAAATATGTTTTATATATATATATATATATAAAGCACACTTCAATTTTTTTATTAATTACCGTCAGTATATCTCAGTCGTTTCTCTTGCACATTAATCGATGCTTCTCTACAATTTTTATTTATTAGACGAAAGTGCTCAGGTAGAAGCAAGACATGCTGTATATGTTCGTGTCATCCAATGATATTTGATGTTACTCTCTGTTATTTGATATTGTATATTATAAATGGAATATTTTATTATTATTGCTTCTATATTACATTGCTGCTTTTTTTTTTGTTGCTTATTATTTATATATACATACAAAAGAAACTAAATTTGACGATATTGCTTTTTTTTTTATTGTTATAATTAATATTAGAATTAATTTCTTTGAAATAATTTAATGTGCCAGTATGTATGACATTCTATTTACCCAACCATCAGAATTTATTTAAAGCTCTATTTAGGTAAAATTTAGTGTAATATCTAATATTAGACTATTATCTAATATTAGATTATTATCTAATATTAATCGTTGTATATTTAATAAACTCTAAAGAAATATTAAAATAAATACAATGTTCAAAAAAATAAATGTTAATAAAATTGTAAATTGTCAGGATATTTCATATAGCAGCTGCCTTTTATTAAAATATTGAAACATTGAGATTCGAACGAATTCGTCAGTTATAAAATTACAATTGTATTTAATGTTAAACATAAAATAAAAATGTCTAGCTTATGCAGTATCATATAAAAATTTTAAATTATTGTAAAGTCAATAGTATCATTATTATGCACATGTTAGTATGATGTATATATTAGTATTAATATATACATACAATTGCAGAAAAATAGAAAAACAACAACTTTGGCTTACAGATAATCTATTGATTATAAATTTCTATAAGTATATGAAATATATATATTTTTTTTACTGTTGGATATTTTATTAGGAAAGATGTTTATCGATTAATTTACATTTTGTCAATGAAAAATATAGCTCCCAATAACTGCCTTTAATATATATGAATGACACTTTATAAAAATAGATTATTTTTAATAAGCAACGTTTACTATATTATATATA